GAAGCCCGTACAAGCGACCTCCTTGCCCGTACAGAGCCCGTCTAACCCGTCCAAGAAAAAAAAATCTGAAAAAACTGATGTGTAGAAAAATTTCTAGTATTGAAGTTACACAAAATGTTTCGCGTAATATAGTCGGTGCTGTCGGTCAGTGTTGTTAGTGATATTGGTAGCATGGGAGCCGTTATATTAACTAAATGATAATATAAGATGTGTATATACATATTTAAATTCTCAGAAAAAGTTATTGGAGTAAAATTACTTGTTATCGTGTAATTTGGGTCAATATCTGCTGTATTTACGGTTTTACCCAGTGAATACAGGCGACTTCCAGTTCTCAGTATTTTGTCTTTGATTGTCACGATTTACATCAATGATTATTGAAACATAACATAACATAATGATAATATTGTTACAACTATTATTAAAGATCGCGTAGCCGTCCGTGTAGATAATAACTACTAAGAAGTGCTAGAATAGACAACAGCTTTATTTAATCGCCGATTGTGAACCGCGGATACGCAATTTATAGCGTAGAGGTAAGTATTATTATTTATTAATAGTTTTAATTTATTAAAATTACATTTTTAATTATTAATATTATAAAAAATGAATCTCATGAACGGGATGATATGTTAATTGTCAATCGCAGTGTAGGGTCAAGCGGGGTAATTGTAAACAATTGGGGTAATAGTAAATGCATTTTTTTAAAATAAATTCACATAATTTTATTTCAAATTTATGTTTAATTTGATAGCAACACACACATGGACCAGCACTTTTCAATACACAATTAAACCTACCAAAAGTTATTAGTCGAAATATTCATTTACGTTTACTCTGATTATTTACAATTACCCCGCTTGACCCTATAATGGTTAATGTTATTGTTTCGACACGAAGTTCCTTGACGACTACTTCCGACATGTCGAAAAACCTCTTGGAGCGTGTATGAGTGTATGCCAGTGGTGGATAGTGTCTATGTGTTTAAAATTGCGCACAATTATATAAGTCATTTAATATAAAAACTAAACTTATTTTCAAATTTGTATTTTTACTTTGTTTCTTAAAATAAAAAAATTATAAATATTTTAAATGTATCCGATCATGTGAGGTGGTTGGCGGAAGGGGGTGACCGTAGCTTCTGGGAACACCACTAATAGGGGCCCATAATTATTTCCCTCCCGGGCCCAAACTTTTCTCTCTACGGCTTTGATTGTGGACATTATATTTTTGTTTGATCTGAAATTAGTTCTTCTTATGAATTATTGCTTTGAATGGGTCTTTTTTTTTTGGGGAAAACTTTTTATTTTTTTTATCTAGGCCCAGTAACTAAATTTTTGCAAAAGTCACTGTACTGAATGATTGTAATCTTCAATCAACGATCTTCTTACTATTGCAGTTATGAATAAAACAAATTAATGTATAATGTGTTCCTATTAATTTTTTAAAAGCTTTGTAATTGCTAGCCAACTCAAGGGTGGATACAAGGGGTTGATATTAATGGCAATTACCTTTTCTCATTCTTAAAAAAAAAAAAAGTCAAATATTTAATAAAAATAAAATACTTATAAATATCTTCTTTCAGTACCCACCTTGAGCTAATAGTGAAGTGGTATCTTTTAAAATAAGTGAAGTGCTGTGATTATTTGAGGGTTTCTTTATTTCTTTTTACTATTCACATTATTCGTTATGTTTTTAAAAAGTCATTAACCATTACCTTGTGGTGAAATTTTACTATAATTTTACTGTAAAAAATTAGAATTTTCCAGTCACTGTGTACTAATTTTCCATATTTCAATGAAATTTTCCTACTCGAGTTTGTGAAATATAAAAGAATATTAAATTTGCAGTATTATGGTACAGAAAATTTCCATATTTTTTTTTACAGTGTATTTATCAGAAAAATTAAAATGGTGATTTTGAATTGTATGAAATACCTAACAATAACTTACTTTTTTTCACACACTAAATTTTATATTTTTATATCCAAAGCTTCGTCACGGAAACTGAAAATATTATTTCAATTTTCTGTTAAGGTTTTCAAAACTTTCATCTTTTTCAACTAATATGGATATAAGGAATTATTTCGGTCGAAAACGTTCCCGTCTAGAAGAGACTTCCAACTTGCCTAGGATTTCTTCATCTACGAATACTGTAGATGCTCAAGTTGATTCCCAATCTGAATCAAACTCAGTAAAGGTGTTATCAACATCAACAGTGTCAATGAATGAGCTAGAAGATTTACCTAAAAAAGGAGAACCTATCAAACAAACAGTTTTGACGCAGTACCCTAAAACTAAAGATCGTTCTTTTCAAGCATCATGGTTCCACGAATATAAGTGGTTGATGTATTCGGTGGAAAAAGACGCTGCCTTTTGTTATGCGTGTATGCAATTCAAACCATCAGGAATGAAAGATGTTGCATATACTTTGAGTGGCTTTAAAAACTGGAAAAATGCTAAAGATGCTAAAAGAGGTTTTCCAAGACATGAAAAGACAGGATCGCATGTTGAAGCTATGATTATGTGGGAAGAAAAAAAGAATCGACAAACTTCAAACACAGAAATTTCAACTCTTGTCAATGACAAAACCCTGGAAAAACACAGATATTATTTAAAATCGATTTTCGAAGTCGTTCAATTCCTGGTGATCAATGAACTTTCATTTCGCGGATCCTATGACATTGATGAGAAAGCTGAACGTGGATTATTCATTAAACTTTTCGAGTTCGCATTGAAAAAAGACAGATTTTTAGCTGAATGCAACGAAACTATACCAAATAATGGAAAATACACGTCTCCAGAAATACAAAATGAAATCATTCAAATCATGGCGGAATCTGTTAGAGAATCAGTAGTTATTGATGTGATGAAATCTGATGTTCCATGGTTTACGCTAATGGAAGATGGGACCAAAGACAAAAACAACAGAGAAAACATAGCTATCGCTATTAGATACGTAAAGGAAGGAAAACCTCGAGAATCTTTACTCAATATTATCACAACCAAGGAATTGGACGCTAAAACATTTACCGAGAAAACTATTGAAACATTGCGTGAGAATAGCATCGATCTGTCACGTCTTCTGAGTCAATGCTATGATGGAGCTAATGTGATGAGTGGTAAAAAAGGAGGTGTCTCTGGTCTCTTGGAACAACACCTTAATCGTAAAATTCCTTACATACACTGCTTCAACCATCGTCTCCATCTCGTCGTTGTAAAAGCAGTGTCTGACAATGATTCTCTGAGGGACTTTTTCGACATGTGTGTGATGCTACATGAATTTTTTCACCATCCCAAAATTTCTTCTTTATATGAAGGACAGACCATTGTACGATTGCTACCGCAACGATGGTCCGGTCATTTTGCAATTACGAAGGTGGTGTCATCAAACTACTCTGAAATCAATCGAGTGCTGGATCAAGTAGTCACCCAGTCAACACTGTTCAATGGAGAAGATAGAGCAAAGAGTATCGGGATCAAAACAGTTATAGAGACGGAAGAATTTCGATTTTGCTTGATTTTTGCAAAAAAGTTTTTGGGGCTCTTACATCCAGCGGATGCTGCAATGCAGTCACGGACAGCGAGCCTGAAAGTCGGGCTTGATGTTGTAAAGTCAGTTCTTCAACAACTTCAAGTTATGAGAACAAGCCAAAAGGAATTCGAGTTGATTTTAGAAGATGCGAATAAGCTCATACCAATGATCGAATCAACGAACAATACAATGTCCAAACGAAAAATCAAAACAAGTGAGCATCCAAGCTACATTACTGAGACCAGATTACCTTCATACTCTGCAAATCACGCAATTGATGGGGATTTACAAAACTCAAAGATGAAGCTAAAACAAACTTACAATGAATGCCTAGATCTTATTATAAATGAAATCAATCGACGCTTCTCAGACAATCAAGAGCTAGTTACTGCCATTTCCAGAATAAGCGAATTCAAAACTGATAATATGAATGTTTTCAAGGAACTCGGTAATTCTAAAAATTTACAGTAAATGTGAATTTTTTTACTAGCATGTTTCTTACTACCCTTTCACTAGTAACTCAAATTCATAAATTTTCAGGTTTGAAAGTTCCCAGTGAAGAAGAATTGGCAGTTGTGAAAAACTTCCTCATCCAGCGAGAAGCACAGACTGACGATGGAACTAGATTAGAGGTACTTTTCAGATTTCGTGAAGCTTTCCTTGAAACGTACGAATTGATGGCAGCTGTTGAGACATTTGGGTGTAGTACAGCAACTTGCGAATCAACTTTTTCAACATTGACTGCAATCAATAGGCCACAGCGCTTGTCAATGTCCCATGCTCGCATGGCTGATCTAGTGTACTTGGCTTTCGAACGACATCGCACAAGTGCATTGAATATCGATGTAGTTCTCCGAAAATTTAATGATAGGAAAAATCGTAAACTGGCATTGTACCAAGTTACCTAATAATATTTTCTGTATGTTTTCTTTCGCACATGAAATTTAAAAATACAAAGCATACACGTTCATCACTCATTTATTGTTTGTTTATTTATTTATTTATTATTTTCATCATTTATTGTTGTAAATTTTACCCTGCCCGCAGGCCCGTATCCAGAAATTCATTTCGGGGGGTGCCCAAGTTCCCAAAAATTTTTTGACAAGCAAAAAAAAAAAAGGTCTCAAAGCAATCAAGGCCCCTCGGACCCCTCCCTGGATACGTGCCTGCCCGTCTTACTTTACTTTGTGCCCGTACAACTAGTTAGGTCTGGCTACGGGCCTGGTTTTTAAACGACCATCTGAACTCATTTGCAATTCATGTTCTGTTGTAGGGTTTTGCGTGTCTGTTTGTAATACTTTTAAATTTTTATTGGTTGTTATATTTATAATTGATTTAATCTTGTACTACACATTGAATGTAGGTGTGTTTTTATGTTTATGTTTTTGCTAAATATTTTTCTTGTAAAAAAATTAGTATCTTATTACTATCGTTATTGATAAACTTCACAATGTCTTTGCATTTTTTTAATTTTATTAAATCAACAAGGTTTTTTTTTATCTGTTTTTTTTTCTTTGTTTTTAATGCCACTTTAAATTTATGATTCTAGAGGGCTTTTTCCTGTATACAAAATAATCCAAATTTGGTAAGACAATAATTTTTTCAGAAGCAACGGAGGATTTCAAATTTTTGTAAAACGACAAAATACTAGGTAATAAAAACTAAAATTTAGTTAAATAATTTTTTTTTCATTCCTTCAGGAATTAAAATTTTCTTAAATTAGAATTCTTATTTTTAACTTGATAATACAATAGAAACAAAAATCAGTATATTATGTAATCAGTATAATAAAGTGTATTTACGTCTCCCCATCCATGTTCTACGACGAATAGGTAACACCATTGTGTATTAATAATATCTTGTTTTGGTGTTCACCGATGCGATCCAATACAAGCTGTTTTATTGTTTTCGTACTCGTGATGTAACAATAACCAGAATTATCGTAGAAGAAGTTTTAGATATATGGTTTAATTATTTTTATTTGGACTCAATTATTTGATAATTGAATAATTTAGTGGGATGGCCAATAAAATATTAGAGGGATAGCACTCTTTAGCTACGCGCCTGCATTTATAATATATTTTATTATAGAACCTGCGTCTGTAATGGTTGATTTTTTATATCCATATCAAATTATTTTCGTATAATGTTAGACTTTCACTAAGAACACTTTTAAAAAATTCCCTATTGTCTATATCGATATTTTAAAAGCTCAATCACGACTAACCAAAATATGATTATAAAAATACGTCTATTTATATTCAAAATATAATTAACAAGATTTTGACAACTCAGTGTTTCTCAGCGTGAAGCCTTGGTAGTTGGTTTAAATATTTAATATGTTAAATTATTATGTTATTTAATATATTATTATAATACATCCCTTAATATTCTAAATATACGCCGATTACTTACATGGTACCAAAAAGAAAGGTATGGAAGGGTCGCGTTAACATGTAGAATTTAATTCCACGATATAGTTTCCTATCGTTTATAAATAATACATATATACTTATAGAAATTACCTCTATCCGACTTATCTATGTATATATCATACTTCAAGATATATTATAGTTCATATTCTATTACTAACACTCATTACCCCAATGCTTACATGGTATCAAACAAATAGGGCATAGCCTAAAGACTGACGCGTACGCGGACATTAAGTACTACTGCTATAAGACTTATTTCTAATTACAATATTCACTTTGTTCGCTTGTCCATAAATGATGGGAACAGTAAAGTTTATAACCGTTAAGTGAATAATAAGGCTCGTTCCATTTTATTTAGCCATTTCTCTTGCCATAATAACTTACCAATTAATTATTTCACTATTCTTTACTCAACCTCCCTCAATGTAATTTCACTAGTTATTTCTTTTATTCGTCTAGTTGGTTTATAATTTAACTATATTTATTATAATATCAACAATGATCTTTTTTATTTTGAAATTTTATCGTGTAGATTACATTAATACTATTAATAATAAATTGTAATTTTATTTTCAAACTTAATTTTTAATTCTTATCATTAATTGTTAAGCTATATTAATACTTTGTATAAAAAGCTAAAAAAATAATAATAATGAATATGTTGAGTAAATACGATTACGCTCTTTCGAACTATTCGGCACGTTTAAGGTTGTCAAGAAGTGATGGTTTATAGAAATATTTAGGTAAAAAATGAAAATAAATAAAACATGTTTTAGGTAAAAATGTAATAAATCATCTAAAAACAATATTCACAATGTAGATTATTATATTAAAAAAAAATCTAATGAACAAAATGTTTACTTAAATTGATGCACATTCTCTGTGAGTAAAATTTGAACCAACAACTCTTGTTTTTACGAAAAAATAGCTTTTATATATACATAAAAAAAGTCTACAAGCGTTCTCTTGTGAAATTCTTGAGATGTCGTATAATTATTTATAGTTGGTTACTTGTGATAGAAACCCTTGCGTGGCTATTATTGATAAGTTGTAAGGGACTGATTTGAGATATTTGGTAATGAAAGGGTTATTTTAATCCTCTAAAAGGGAACATTGATTAGATGAGTTTTGCTTTACACATATATATTGAATATTTAATGTACATGTGTTAATAATAATTATTATTTTTGCAATATCTTATACTATAATTATTATACAACAAGATTGTAGAATAATCTAGTCGTATAAATTTCCGTCGTAATAACATAAACAAAGGTTAGTTTTACAAAAGAATATAGTAAATCTTGTAATTCATAATTAATTAAATTAAGAAAATAATTTTGTAAATTCATTTCCCATGTTATTATTTATATTTTTCATATTATCGATTAGCAAATTATTAGTAGTATTTTGATTAAAAACATAAAATATATCAAAATCATTTACTTCTAATGATTTATACATTATTTTCTTCTGATCAATATCATTTATTTTTAAGTTTATATTAGGATATAAAATTCTTTGTAAAAAATGTGTTCTTAAGCTGAAAATACGTCTAACAATAGCTGGATATTTTGTGTATACATTAGTGGAAGACTTTTCTCTTTGGTATTCTTCTCTCTTATAAACTGGTAATTCAGTTAAAATGTTAAAAAATATATTTTTAGAATGTTTAAAAATTTTCGAATAGTTTAACTTATCGAGTTCCTCTATTTTATAGTTGACATCAGATATTATACCAGTATCCTCAGACCAAGAATATTTTTTGTAACACGATTTCAAAATTTTACGTGCCTCATCTATTGCAAAAAAGAATATCGAACGAGCTTGATCAGGATAATTTTTAGACATATCTAATCTCTCAGCGTAATCACATAACAAACAAATATATTTAAGAATTCTTGTTTCTATAGCAAATTTAAATGGGTTATTTTTTATATAATCATAATTGTACACATTATTATCATCATCTGAAAGTTTATAATTATCTGTATTAATAACACAGTTTACCAAGTCTTCCAATAATATTTTAGATCCGGTCGCGCTCAAAACGAGTTCTTTTTTGACATATTGCCATAGATGCAATTCTTTTATTTTGGCAGGGTTATCTGCATCCACTTGATATAAAATTATAGCTATCGTGACTGTCATAAAAAGTAAACAAATTCTTTTTGACATTTTTTTTAGAAATTATTTACCTGTGGTTTATACGGTTTATTTTGACAAATATGCAATGGTATGTTAACGAACAATGAATACTTCAAGAAATAATGTGACTATATTATTATTTATAATTTCCACAAGTTTTTATTAAAATATTCACAAATTTTAATGACGTATTAATAGTATTTGTCATATGTTTGCTACATATAAATTTAGAAAATTTGTGTAATATACTAGTGCAAACTTTAAAACTGTATAACTTTTTTTATGGGAACTTAGACTGTCATTTTAGATATATTAGCCACAGTTAACTTCTTAGGTTAGTTATATACTAATTTGCAATCTGATAGCTTTTTATGGTATCAAATATTAAACATTAATATTTGATTAATTTTCTTTCATCGTGATTATTTAGTAAAATTTATTTTTATATAACTAACACATGTTGCACACTCTTGAAAAATTAATAGGTAATCCTTATTTGATTAAAAATATCACATGAAATTATTAATTTTTGATTAATTAATTTTATAATCAACTGTAAGTGTGCAAAATTTTTCTATAAAATATTTTTATATGATACCTTTTTATTATTTTAGTTGTTTTTTTCTAGTTAAGAATATGAAATTCAGTTACATAATTGAGGTTTGAAATATTAAATAGGGTTTCCTATTTAAATAAAGTCCCCTCGTAAATAGGTTTATAGTTCAAATAATACCCTATTATACATTATTACTTTTAGCTTCGATACGAAGCTGAAAAGGTATTGGTTTTACTAAGATGTGTTTATTTTTTTTTTTTGTGTGTGTCTGTTACCACTTTTTCTCAGCTCTCATCGAACGAATTTGATCTCTGGACTTGTCTTCGTGGTGAAAATATACATCAAAGTTAATAAAATATTACGATTTTTGTAAAATAATTCTTTTTTATATTTTTAACTTAATAATGCTATAACTTTTTGGAAAATGTATGGATAAGTAAATTTTTTTTTTATATAGATGCTTGATGTCTTTACTTATCATTTGGTATATTTTTTTTGTAAATCTGACCCTTTATCTGCCCACAGGGGGGGATTTAATATGACAACTTTTTCACAAAAAATTAACTTTTTCAACTTAACTTTTAAAAATGTTCCGGAAGGATTGACACTTTTATATATATCTTAAATTAAAGCTAATGTAATATACTTTAATTTGAAAAAAAAAAATTGACCTCTGGACTTGTCTTCGTGGTGAAAATGGCTACCGAATGCTATTTTTGTGTGAAAATTCTCGATATTATTTTTTACATTTTTAACTTTATTATGCTAC